GTGGAGCGGAAGGGAAGGCGCGCGAAGAACGAGGCTAAGACCCTCCGGAGTGCGGGGAAAGCGAGTAGGTGCGGACTCACCTCCATGCTGGCTTGTTTGATAGTCTGCACCAGAAACACCTTGTGGGGGGTCCCCTGCTGGTAGTTGATGCAGTTCTCCGCCACCGAGGCGGCCCTGGAGGCTGGGTAGTGGGTCGGCGGGATTTCCATTCTTGGTGAGCGGGCGGGTGGGTGAGTGCGCTGCTGCTCCAGCTGAAGGTCCGCCGGTCCGGGCTCCTGCCGGGTGGCTGAAGCGGAAGAGTCAGCACGCCTAGTTCGGGCTGGGTGTGGGCAGGCGCGCCTGCTCCTGCCCTCCCTCTCCCTCCTTCCCTCCTTCCGATCCGCTCCGGGAAGCTGCCGCGGGGCGCTGGCTTCTGTGGCACCGCCCTTTTGCTGCCTACGTTTACTCGAGGATTCCTACGAGGGCGCGAGGCCTGGCCTCCTTTCCGGCGGGAGAGGGGGGAGGTGTGGGGAGGTTGGTTAGGTTGGCACGGGCTTCATCCTTCCTTTCATTGACCTTTACTGAAGTGCCGGGAGGGCGCTTTCTGCCCTTTTCCTTTATGGAGCGCCTCTGGGGACTCCGGTTTCCTCTCCTTGGAAGGAGTCTGATTGCTTCCCATGGAGCCTGTAGCACACCTTCCGTCTGCACACTCGCGGTGTCCGTCTCGGAACAAAGTGCACAGGAGCTGTGGGTAGTGAGCCCATTACTTCTTTCTCCTTCCCATTCTGAGAGTCCATGAGCCCGCCCTATTTAATCCACCCTTTCTGTGGGAATTGGACCAATGCTGCCCAAATCAGGGGATGAGAAACTGCAAATAGTATTAATTTGGAGGATTATATAATTTGGATCAGGAGAAATAAAAAATACACCTGCACCCTTTTTACCCTTAACTAATACATAGAAAAATGAGGTTTTGCTTTGGTTTTATCCATGCTTCTTACTTTCTGAGTCAATTTGAAAATTTAAGAATTAAAGTATTAGTATTTACTTTAAGAATTAAAACATAGGGGTGCCTGGGTGGTTCAGTCCCAAGCGTCAGACTCTGGGTTTCTGGTCAGGTCATGATCTCATCTCACCTTGTGAGTTCAAGCCCACATCTGACTCTGCTGACAGTGCAGAGAGCCTGTTTTGGATTTTCTCTCTCCTTCTCTCTAGTCCCCCCCACCCCCCCACCCCCGTTTGCAAGCATGGTCTCTCTCTCGTGCTTGCTTCCCCGCTTTCTCTCACTCTCAATAAAAAAACATTTTTTTAAAGAATTAAAACATCCTTAAGAACTGAACTTAAAGCACTACACTGAAGTAACTTCTAACAAAGGCAATAGTTTTTAAAGCTGCGTAAGCAAGCACAAACTTTTAGTAGACGGTGTATTTTCATTCTCCAGGTTTCTTAATTACCTTCTTGTTTTACTTGTGAAGGGACCGGATATTGTTTGGAATTGCTCTAGATTGGTTCCTTTTTATCTGTATGGCCAAACCTTCACTTTGGCTTGTTGGCTTGGAAATAGAGATTCTTTGCTTTTTTTCTCAAAATAGATTTTTGAAGGTTCTTTAGGTAATCATATGTGTTGTGGCACTTTTAAAACTAAATTTAAAAACATGTTTGTAATGTATTGTCTTCCTCAAATACCCTCTTCAATTTACTAATAAAGTCCTTATTTGGAGAAAATATATATATTTTTTACATGTAAGCAGTGAGGCATTCCTGTTGTTTCTAGGTATTTTAGCCAACAAATGTCAAGTAAGTAGTGGATGCAGGGGTTAGCTTCTCTTCTTAAGGCTTTTTCTCAAAAAAACTGAAGGTTGTTTTACTTTTTGGGGGGTGAGAAGGCGAGTAAACTCATCTGAGAGTAAACATCTTAGGTTGTCCTTATGTGTTTGGGGGCGGGGAGAGTAGGTATGTGAATTGTTTGAATAGTGTGTTTCTGTGATAATGTCCAGGAAAGAGAGACTGAGTACATTCTGATGATGTTGAAAGAGCTTTTTGCTGATTAATAACATTTTTAGTTTCACAAATAGCTAGTTAACATCTCCTGATTACTACCTGTTAGAGTTGTGAGAAATACAATATGTGAGCTTCCTAGATAAAGTCACCATTTGAAGCTTTATGAGTATGGTTACCATCTTTGCAGATCAAAGCTAATTATGTAGGTTGTGACATATTAGGCATTTACTAAAAGCATACATGATAATTTATGTTCTTTGTAAGTATAATTATTGGGACGCCTGGGTGGCTCAGTCAGTTAAGCGCCTGACTTCGGCTCAGGTCATGTTCTCATGGTTCATGGGTTCAAGCCCCGTGTCCAGCTAGCTCAGAGCCTGGAGCCTGCTTCAGATTCTCTATCTCCCTCTCTCTTTGACCCTCCCCTGCTCATGCTGTCTGTCTGTCTGTCTCTCTCTCAGAAATAAAAAAAAAAAAAAAATGTAATTATTACTTTAAAACTTAACTTTAAATTATTGCTTTAAAATGTTTTAACATTACTAAAATCACTTAAATAAAACATTTATTTAACTAGATGTTAAATGAACTGCATTAAGACATTAAGAGACTCTTATTCCTATACTTGAGTCCTTAAAGCTTTATGATTGGTTAGTCAAAAGTCTGTTATCCTCAAATTTGACTAATGTATGGGCTCCCTTTAAAGTAACAAAATTATTGTGGGCCTCTGGGATCAAGTAAATTATTATAATTTGATGTAACTACACAAACGTAAAAGTGTCTATGCTTTGCAACTTTGGTACAACAATAAAGTCAAAGTAAATCTACATAATAGAAATATAATCAGCACAGTTCTAATTAACATTAATTTTATCGTGAGAGATGATGCTTTTCCAAAACTATATTGCCTTTCACAGCATGCTCATGGTCTGATGACCGGTATGGATTCCTTTACCTTCAGCAGGCCTATTAGCTGCCTACCAAGTGATGTCTTAGTTCTCCCACCTCTTTTTTGAGCTCTTATAAAGTCTGTCTTAGTGTACCACGCTCTATCACCTTTTGAAGTGAATGCATCATTTGCAGGTCATATCATTGTATGCTCTTATTAGCCCTCTAGGAAAATGTTTGGTTAAGAGTATTGGTTTTGGTGCAAATCCTGGCTCTGCCACTTAATGGCTGTATCATGTTTGGCAAGTTGTTTCACTTCTGTAAAATGGTGATAGAAATAGTACACACGTCATAGTTTGTGGTGAAGAGTCAATAAAACACAGTCCGTGAAAACTGCTTAGCACAGCCTGTCACCTACGTGTTCCACTATTTGGCATCCACTTAGGATTCAGACATGGTTCCTGAAACTGCATGGATTACTTGTTTGTGACCTGGTCCTTCAGAGCAGTGCTGTCTAGTAGAACTTTGTGCAGTGATGGAAATGTTCTGTCTCTGCTACCCTGGACAGTCGCCACTTCCCATATTTGATTGTTGACCACTCAAAATGTGACTAGTACAAGTAAGGAACTAGATTTTTAATTTTTAAAAAGTTTATAATTTAAAGGTAAACGTCTGTGGTTAATGATTAACCTATAAATAGCACAGATTGAGTGTATATTAGTACAGATGTTATATTATTGTCTAATTGAAAACACAATTTTAAATGTCTCGGAGAACTTGTGCGTACCCGAATTTGTCAGTGGACCATGGGTTTGGAGTCCCTTCAGTAATTCTCTGATGCTTTGGTAGCCGTTTCTCTTCTACTTCTGTTCTCTTAGTTATGATAGCTAGCTTTTTCCCTCCCAGGAAGGTTAACCTTTCAGCATTTTGTTTTTCCACAGCCTGTCCTGAACCTCCTGGCAGCTGGATGATTATATGAAGGCAGCTCAACAGGCACATTCACACTTAGGCTTTTAATGAAATCTCTGTATTCCAAGCTGTCATCTCCTAACAAAATTAACATTTACTTCTTGCAAACTACTCACAGATCTATATGTAACACACCCATTAATGTCCATTTACCTGCAGTTACCTGAGATAATTTTGATAGCGGCTGGCCTCTTTCATCTTTGGGTCTTGAGGAAGGTTTCGTTAAAAAACTTTTTTTTTTTAACGTTTATTCTTTTTTTTTTTTGAGAGAGTGAGCGGGGGAGGGGCAGAGAGAAACACACAACGCAGAATCCTAAGCAGGTTCCAGGCTCTGAGCCACGAGTACAGAGCCTGGTGTGGGGCTCGAACCCACGGACCTCGAGATCATGACCTGAGCTGAAGTCGACTGCCCAACCGACTGAGCCACCCAGGTGCCCCCAGGAAGGTTTCATTTTAAAAGAAGGAATGTCTTGCAGACAGTAGATACCATGAAATTTTTTTCCAATGAAATAGTGTATGTTTACAAATGTTTAATATGCATATAAAGTGCTTATTCTTTTTATGTTGCCATTAGTGGTTTGAAGTACACACTGAGATGTCTGTATATGTGTCTCTTTGAATGACTTAATGTTGATCGTTATTATTTTGCCATTATTCTTTATGGGTGTCAATCCATCTGCAGCTCTGTTCGCTGGTATTGCATCACTCCATAACTTCCAAGTAGTAAACACAAACAGACAAACCATCTGATTAAGTGAACTGCACAGCTTCTATTTTCGTGTGACTGTTTTCGTTGTAGAGATTTAAGAAGAGAGCACTGTGTCCCAGGGAAGGGAGGCATTCCAAAAGAAGAGACTGAGCTCTTTGGAATGTAGGTTACTAGAACAAGAACCTTAGGTGGACTTTTCACATTTTTACTTTTCTATTTACGAGGTAAAGAATTGGCATGATTAAAACCATGCATTACTTTGGTGTTGTACCTCACCATACTTACCTCCAAGTAAAAACAGGAAAGAGAGAATTACTTTTTAAATAATGGCAAAGTCATTATGTTCAAAGAAAAAGTAAAAATGGTGAAATGTGGTTTTTAATTTAAATCAGTAGGAGTCGTTTTGTTTTGGTAATTACATAATGCTGTTAAATTTTTTTTCCTCCTAAATCACTCTCAGGTTTGAATTTACACATAAAAAACAATCTGGTGGTGCAGGCCAGTTTGGAAAAGTGATTGGTGTACTGGAGCCTCTGGACCCAGAGAACTACACTAAGTTGGAATTTTCAGATGAAACATTTGGGGCAAACGTTCCAAAGCAGTTTGTGCCTGCAGTAGAAAAGGTAAAAACAAAAATAACTTTCTTACCTTTTTTTCAACCAGCTTATTAATAAACATATCAAATCATATATTTTTTAAAGTTTTATTTATGTAATCTCTGCACCCATTGTGGGGCTTGAACTCACAACCTCAAGATCGAGAGTTGCATTCTTTTCTGACTGAGCCAGCCAGGCACCCCTCAAATCGTATTTCTATCACATTGTCTCTCATGGTTCATTTTAGTTACCGTCCTGCTGCTTTTCTCTGATTGTGAAGTGTTCCATGTGATTTAGAATCTTCAATTGATTAAGTTCAAGACCTATAAACATGCTAAGACAATGTGGGGGGAAATCATTGTTTCTTAATTACTATATTTCTTTTGATAAATTAAACCTACATCATTAACTGTAATCAGGATTCCCAATATCTCGGTTCTCCTGTCTTCTCTGCTGTTGATTAATGTGATCTTTGGTAAATCATGGTGTTCAGAGCCAATTTCTTCAACTGAAAGTAAATAAAATACTTAAACCTCAACCCCTCACAAACTTGAGGACCACATAATACTCTCTGACATTTCTTTGTAAATTGTGAAGTACTTTGCACATATAAGGAGTTAGTGTTTTGTTTGCTTTCTAGGTCACTGACTTTAAGACTATTGTAAACCTCCAGCAATTGTCTGTTCTCATAGATTGAGATTTTTAGGTTTTCATTTATTCTTTTAATTTAGAAATATGTACTAATAGATTTTAATTTTGGTTTTAGTGGTGGAGGCATTTTTGGTGATTAGTGTATTTCATTCATTATACTTTATTTCAGTACAATAAATATTTCATCATTCTCATACTTTTAGGTTATCTTCTATTCTCCAAGATTAATGTAGGTGAAGGAAAGCTTATAAATGAAATGACTAAAAAAGAATTGCAAACTTATCAAGTTATACCTTTAAAATATGTTTAGTTTCTTGTTTATCAGTCATACCTCAGTGAGGTATTTTTAAAAAAAAAGAACTGCATGGGGCACCTGGGTGGCTCAGTCTCTTAAGCATCTGACTTCGGCTCAGGTCATGATCTCACGGTTCGTGGGTTCGAGCCCCGCGTTGGGCTCTGTGCTGACAGCTAGCTCAGAGCCTGGAGCCTGTTTTGGATTCTGTGTCTCCCTCTCTCTCTGACCCTCCTTTGCTCACACTGTCCCTGTCTCTCAGAAATAAATAAAACATTTAAAAAAATTTAACAAAGAACTGCGTTAGGAAAAATAAAATTACTTTTGAATTCTGGTTCTTACTGACATAACGTTAAAGCTATAATGTATGATCTGCTAATGAGGTGCAACAGGGACGGGTGTATAATAGGAGCTCAGGACGTAGCTGTTGAGCCAATGTCAGTTTTGATGGAGGTACTCTTATTTGCCTTTCCCCTGTTTCCTCCTTCCAAAGTTAAGAGCAGGCTGTCTATAGAATGGGCTAGGAGAGCTGTGTAATTGCTGAAGATGGGAAGGGTGAGCACTTTCAGCATCATTTTCAAACCAGCTCACATCTTTACATGATATGCTTTTCCAAGGGACTGTTCATCCAGATGCCACAGTAATAAAACTTAAATAGTTAAGGTGTTCAACTTTTTAAACCTCTTTTTTCTTTTTTGGAGGGGTGAAATGTAGTATTCATAAAATGTCTAACTTCTGAACAGTAAAATGTTTGGATATTCTTGGTAATTCATCTGCAAGTGAAATTCATTCTCTCCAGAGGTTGTGTTCATTCGTTAACAGGGGTTTCTGGATGCCTGTGAGAAAGGCCCCCTTTCTGGTCACAAGCTCTCTGGGCTCCGGTTTGTCCTGCAAGATGGGGCGCATCACATGGTTGATTCCAATGAAATCTCTTTCATCCGCGCAGGAGAAGGAGCTCTCAAGCAAGGTATTCTGAGTGCTGGCACTTGTCCCGACACTGTGTCTTTTTTCCCTGCTAGACCATCAGAGCCTCAGAAGGCAGCACTGTGTTTTAGTCTTGTCCCCCCAGAGCACCAGGCAACTCACCAGGGAACATGGCGGGTTCTGGGCATAGATTTATAGAATTGAAGTGAGGACAGATTACTGTGTTCTCTTCCTTACAAAATTAAAAGCCTACCTTGTTCTCTTAAATTACCTAGTAGTTTTCGTATGCTTAAATTTATAGATAATCTGTAAACTCTGCTTTTAATAGGAAAGATAGAAATGCGCAGATTTCTAAGAAATATTTTTATAGAAACATTACAGTCATGCTATTTTTAGTGACTTATTCAGATGTCAGGAAATCCATAAATTTGTATGTAATTTTTTTATGTATGACATTGTAGGCTTGTAGGTATTTTGAGAATGGCAAAGTAGTTTGAACCTTGTACAGAACTGCTAAAATTGTGACCCTTTTCCTCACAGAGTAAAGCTGTATTAAAACCCTGATGAACCAGAAACCTAAACAACAGCAAATATATCTGATCCATTGCTTTTATTTTTTTTTATGTTTATTTCTGAGAGAGAGAGAGAGACAGAGCACAAGTGGCTGAGGGTTTAGAGAGAGAGGGAGATACAGAATTGGAAGCAGGCTCCAGTCTCTGAGCTCTTAGCACAGAGCCCATCACGGGGCTTGAACTCACAAACCGTGAGATCATGACATGAGCCGAAGTTGGACGCTCAACTGACTGAGCCACTCAGGCATCCTTGACTCATTGCTTTTAAAAGAGAAAAGCAAGTAACAAAGCAATTTGACATCAGGGTTACTCAACAAAGGAATTTGAAACTTCTATCTTGAACCCAGAAAGTTTCTGTCATCTTTTCTGTATTCATTATTAATAATGTCCATATAGACACGGCAATTATATTATGATTGACAAAACACTTCAGAAATATTTTTATCAGAGTGTCAAAATGGACAGTGGAAAATCAGATAAATCATAACACATTTTTAAAGCATTCTATAAATCACAATTTTATTGATTCTGTATGAATTTTGGACTTTGATTTCATTGTTCTTCCATTTGCATCTATGATCAGGTGTGGGGCAGTGGTTGGAGAAGGTCACTCATTTCTTGACCAGACTAATTCTTTCTATTACTTAAACCAATGGGAGCCATTAGTAATTTGTATTTTAGCTTTTCAGTTGTGAAAAGGAGAGAAAATCCTTCATTTTCTTTATTAAAAATGCAGTTGAAATCTGTGATCAGGAAATATTATCATAATCTGAGGATTGTGTTGATAAGAAAAAGGGAAATTAAGTCACAAAGAAAATAAGATTTTGTTAGGCATGATTCACATTAAAACACCTGTCTCTTTCCCTCTAGGGTGTTTACCACTTTAATAAATAATAGGGTAGACAAATTAGTTGTAATCACTTTATGTCCTTTTTTCAGCTTTCTAGTAGTATACTTGACAAAACTTTAAGATATTTTAAGTGTACACATGATTTGATATACATATATATATTGTGGTACATTCTACAACTACAGTTAAATTAAAAATTGCCAATTGGTCTGTGCTGGTTCTTGACTAGAAATTGGTAGCTTTCCTGGAGATAATTGGTATGGTTGTCAGTTAACAACTAGCCTCATTGTCTTTTTTAATTGCTCCTGTATGAAATATAATTAAATGTAGATACATATGCCCATAATATACACGTATATATCCATGAAAGCAGTCTGTATATGAATATTAACCAAACAGTTGAATATGTGCCATTTGCTTTTTTAATTAAGTGTACAAATAATATAAGTGTGATTAACTGCCTGGTGGGTGTGCACTAGATGGTAATTGGGGAATTTTGTTTGTTTCTTGCCAGAAGAACATGTGTAAATAAGCAGGATACTAGCATGCAAATGAATTACTGTGCTGTTCATTCATGTGTTATTTAATCAACCATGACTGAAAGACAAAAGTCTATGAGGATGAAAAGAAGTTCTTAGTTCAGTAAGAAAATCAGCTTTTCATGCATATACCTCTATTGAATGCCATATGAGAGTTTGGAGGTGAAACGTTGATAAATGAGCCCGGTATCAGAGTAGCTGAAGCTTATGAGCTATTCTCCATTATCAAAATTGGAAGAAAAATAGCTCACATTCTAAGGTATGTTTTCATTAAAAAAATGAAAACTGGAATTGTGTTGAGTTGCAGTTTAAATTTTGTTCCTGAGATTAATCAGTGATGTAACTAAAACTGAAATATAAAATTGGATATTCTTGGTCACAGGTATGACCATTGCCATCATTTTCTGTGGCCAGGTTCTAGAAAGAGCACTATGCTTGGTCTCCCCAGAAACATCATGCTTGTAGCCATCTACAAGAGAAATAAAAGCCTAGCAATAAGAGTTAGCTCATGTAACTTGACAGTCCTCTTTCTTTGCTCTCCTGCCCCCGTACGTGATGGGCTTTGAGTTTAAATCCCAGCTCTGCTCCATGTTTACTGTGTAGAGTTGCTCAAGTCATTTGAAGTTCCCCCAGGCTGCTTGGAGATAGTAATTCCACACTATTAAATGAAAGATTGTAGAATTAAATATAAGAATACGTTTGAAAACACTTGAGCATGCAAACTTGGGCATTGAATGCTAATCACTCTTTCCTTCATGTTACCTTTGACCTAGTACTGGGCCATGCCACCTGTTCCCCAGCTTCTTGTCTCAGAGTGGTCATAATAACATTTATTGATCACTTACGTGCTGTGTATTATGCTGAGCACATGAATTATCATATCTTAACGTTCACAGTGACCTTACAGTTGAAAAAACCTGGGACTCAGAGCAGTTAATTGAATGGCTCAGGTTACATGATAGTGGCAGAGCTGAGATCCAGACAAAACTCCTAGCCCTTGACCACTGCCTCATATCTTCAACACCTGGCCTGGTGTTATCAGTGGGATTCCTTATGGACTGAAATAAAAATACTATCACCTCTGCCCAACACTTCAGTCTTCAAAGTTCCTATGATGATACTGGTATTTTTACTTGTTATCTTAAAAACCACAGACCACATGGATCTGTTTGAGAAAAAATTGCTCTTAGGAGTTGGCTGCCATGTGACTGTGAATATGGCAGGGCTAATTAGCTCCCGAGTCTTGTCACATGGGGTTAGAAGAAGGCATGAGTAAGGCTCAGATTCTTTGGAAGTGAGTCAGCAGGTAAATTGAGGGAAAAAGAAAGAGTTAAAAGGAGGGGAGCAGAATGTGAGAATATGAAACAGAACTAGACAGGACATCCTCAATAATTAAGTGATGGGCACTGTGTACTTAGCCCTTCCTTCCCTTTAAATTATGACCCTTTCACAATCTAGCTCTTTTATGTTACTGACCTATTGAAAATACTGGATAATATGTACTACGTATTCTCTGCACACATCTTCCCGGCTGCCTTTTTCTTCATCAACTGCATTTATTTAGAGCCAAGGAAGCTCTGCTATTATGATAACCCAAGACGTCATGAAAAATAGAGCTGTTTCTACCGTGTAGAACTGTCCGTGTAGGGTTCTTCAGGGCTTAGGTGATGGAGCTTAGGAGGCTGCAAAGTTCAATTATTTCCCTTTTTTAGAAGATTCACTAATTAGGACTAACTGTTCAAAGGAAGGCCTGAGCCTTGATCTGAATTAGAAAATATTTTAAAAAGATCCAAGAATATTACATTGCCTTCCTTATAGTTATTGCACTTAAGCTAATAGTGTCTTTAAGAGAAGTGCTTTAATGAATATACAAGAATGATTGCTGATTAGTTAATTATAAACAATCTAATGCTGGGGAAACTATTGTTATCTTAAAATATTTCCTTTGTCATCTTCTCTGTATTTGCTTAAAGTTTTTATTAGAGATAAATTCATCTAAGGCTGAAATATTACTCCACACTATCATAACATTCAAATTAAATATGAGTGTTTGAAATTTTATTCTCTCCACACTGTTACAGTTCAGCCTCAGTCAGCATTTATCACAGTAAGAAGTGCTCTGGTTACATATTAAGGGGGATAAAAAAAGCAATCCGGACACACACATTTTAGTGCCTAAATGTCTCTTAGCATCCAGTGTCTTTATTTTGTAGGTGAAGAAACTTGAGGCCTGGACACACTGTGTTTTTCCAAAAGGCATATAACTTATCTGGGGCAGCGCAGAAACTAGAAACTTGGTCTTCTGATTCTCAGTGACCTGTTGAAATTGTTTAACCTAGAAAAGGAAAGATAGATCTCAGGTGTGACTTGATAATTTTCTCCAAATATACGATAAAAGTTTTTCGATTATGAAAATAATCATCTTCTCGGGACCAACCATAAAGAATCCGTTTATATGGTCAAAGACTTATCAGTTAGTGTCTTTATTCCTCAAAGTATTCAGAGAGAGAATAACCCTTAACTGGATAGTTTAGAGGGTAAAGGACTTTATTGAATGTTATGTGAAGACCCCTTTTATATTATTCTCTGCAGCTTAGTAATGTTTAAGGATAAAAATATATTAATAGAAATATTAGTACTATAATTATGTATTATCTTATTGGTACTTCTATCTAGGAGAGTGACAATTACAAAAAAAAAAAAAAGAGTCCAGATCAAAAATTGTGACCTCGTCACTCTTAAGTGTACCTTTGGAGAGCACCTCTATCTCCGTTTTGTCTATCTAGGTAGAAACAGTTACCATTTGTTTAAAGATTAATAAACTAATTTGTGATTTTTTTTTTTTTTTTTACTCTAGCTTTGGCAAATGCAACATTATGTATTCTTGAACCTATCATGTCTGTGGAAATCATAGCCCCAAATGAATTTCAGGGACCAGTGATTGCGGGAATTAACCGGCGCCACGGGGTGATCACAGGCCAAGATGGGATTGAGGACTATTTCACACTATATGCAGAGGTAAGTACTGTTGGTCACTGACAGTCTTGCTTTTGGTAACCACAGAGGGAAATGAAAGTTTTTGTTTTTGGAGAATGTAGACCAAATTGACACATTATCCTGGATATTTGAGTGTTGTATTTGTGGCTTAGTTATGTGTGGCAATTTCTGTAATTTGGTATTAGAGCAGCTCTCAAGTTGCTAAGCTAAAACTAAGATGTGGGCCTTTGTGAATATGTCATTTTCTTAGATATGTAGTTATCTGTCTCATGATAAGCTTTATTTGCATAGCTGTTTTATCATGTTCTCCCTGGTTTACTGGTATCATACTGAAGTCCATTGCCTGTACTTAACATAAATCTCATGAGAGAAAGTGTATATCACGTTACATAAAGCCGCCTAAAAGACACTACTGTCAGCATATTGAGGTGTTCAGGGGGAAGCTGTATTAACACTTTCATAGGGGAAACACTTCTCAGTGCTTGAGCTGCAGCCAGAGTGTGGACGGTCTAAGGAGGGAAGGCTGTCAGTGGTGTCCACGCTGTGAAACAGAAAGATTTGGTTTCTAGTAGGGACTGTCAGATGAATGGTTTTTTGTTTTTTTTTTAATTTGAGAGAGGGAGCATGCATGAGCCGGGAAGGTGCAGGGAGAGAGGGAGAGAGAGAATTCCCAAGCAGGCTCCCCACTGTCAGTGCAGAGCCCGACGTGGGACTCTGATCCATGAACCATGAGACCGTGACCTGAGCTGAAATCGAGTCATATGCTTAACTGATTTTTTTTTTTTTTTTTTACCAATAGTTTATTGTCAAATTAGTTTCCACATAACACTCAGTGCTCATCCCCACAAGTGCCCTCCTCCATGCCCATCCCCCCTCCCCCCCACATCCATCAGTCCTCAGTTTTTGTCAGCATTCAAGAGTCTCTCATGGTTTGCCTCTCTCCCTTTCCCCCACCATTTCCGCCCTTCTTCTCCCCCTTGTTCCTCCGTCAAGGTCCTCCTAATCCTCCTATACGTGCAAACATGATATTTGTCCTTCTCTGCCTGACTTATTTCGCTCTATGCTTAACTGATTGAGCCACCCAGGCACCTTTCAAATGAAATTATTTTTAAATAAGGTTTTTACTTGCGGTGAAACAAAAATATATTTCTCTGGCTTTTCATTCTTTTCAATCAAGAGTAGTTAATAGAAACCTAAGTCTAAAGGAATTAGATGACTAAGGCTTTTCTGTACTTTTCTAAGATATTTTTCAACAAACAGTACTAAAATAGCTACTGTGTTTGTTTTCAGGTCCCTCTAAATGATATGTTTGGTTATTCCACTGAACTTAGGTCGTGCACAGAGGTAAGCAGGTGTTTAAACTTTAGTGCTCTTAAACCACCCCACACAGTGCTTGCATGTGTGAAATCTTGTCTTTGCATGACTTTTCCTTGGTAGTTGTACCAAAAGAAACAAAATCTCTTTTGTTGTTGTTGTAATTCCTCAGGGAAAGGGAGAATACACAATGGAGTACTGCAGATACCAGCCGTGCTCGCCGGCCACACAAGAAGACCTCATCAATAAGTATTTGGAAGCTACAGGTCAACTTCCTGTAAAAAAAGGAAAAGCCAAGAACTAACTTTCCTCACTTTAAGTTGACTGTAACTGAATCTGCAAGATTTATATACTTTAATGGATTCCTGTGGAAAGAAACAGACTGAAACAAATTCTAGAAGCCCTTCCAATTATATTCAGGAACTTGTATTATATTCAAAGACAATTCTATGTATATCTTAACTCTGTTGGTGTCTGGTGGTTCATTGAAACACCTTAAAGTATGATTATTACTGAAATATATTTAATATTTAAGGGAAGAGACTGATTTCAGTTACACTTCTGAACTTAGAACGGTATATAAACTTCCTTTCTGAATTTCTCGTCCTAAGAATTTTCAACATCTAGAAGAGCTGAGAAGCACAAAGTACAGGCCTGTAGCATCCATCTAGACTTAATAACGATCAACCTTGTTAACAGTTGGTTCATCAAATAATTATTTTGTCATATTTGCTTTATCTATTTGTATCTCATACCTTTATATTTAAATTTTTTTAAATTATTGTTTTGGTGAACAGTAATTTGAAAGTCGATTGCATGTATCATGACACTTCTTCGAGTGTCCTCTTTAATGAACATGCTTTTGTGGAAGGCAGCTGTGCTCACCACTGTACCACCAACGCACACTTGAACAAGACTTTTTTGTTTAAGAGTGGATTTCATATGTTCTTAGAGAACATTTCTCAGATTTTTCATGGGGATATTAAAATGGCTAGTAAATTTCTAGCTGTTTTATATATAGGTGATTGAATTTGTGGCCTCTGCCAATTTGCAATTGTCTATTTTTATGTTAGTTTCTTGTGGACCTTTGAAATGGAAAGCAGATGCCTGCATATTTTACTCTTATTTTAATGTTTCCTGAAGCTCTGAATAATAAAATATAATTTACATAGTTGCTGCTTGGTCGGTTTCATTCACTTGGTAAATGCTAGTTGAATTGGAGTCTTTTGGAATTTATCATATATTGTATTCATTGATATGGTGAAAGGACAAATGTTAAATTTTTGTTTCTAGAATAAGTGGGACTTTCCAGACAGTTCCACCACGTTGTTTAGAATTACTTCATCCCAAAATCATTTGATGTGACAGACATATTCTGGTCCTTTTCCTTTGTGGATAATAAAAATAAAATAACTAATTTCTTTTTATTTCTGATTTATAAGTTTGGCTTTATAACTTAAGGTTTCTAGGAAAAGATTTTTTGAAGTTTTGAGCATGTTTTTAAGGCATCTGCTAAATGCCTTAAATGTACTATCTAATCTAGTTTTCACAGCCCTGTGAAAGTTATTACTATGTTTTGTAACAGGAAGCAAAAGAACAGAGAAGGTAAATAACTTCTCTAAGACCACACAGCTTGTTAAATTTTCAAGTTGAAAATTAGTTGTGTTCATCAAACCAAGTACACTTTCCCTATGAATATGTGTGTTGCTATAGTAGCATCAAGCCTGGATAATATTGTTGCTTTAGCATTTAATCAGCCTCTTGTACTATTGATAATGACTTTGAAAATTGTTCCCCATGAGGAAATAACCTTCCTAGAATGTAGCTCAATTTCTCTGGCTATTGCCAAGATTTGGGAATGTTGGAACCATGATGGATAAATTTTGACATGTTTTAAATTTGTGAAGCATTCTGCTTATTAATGATAGACCATCAGAAAAGAACCGACGTATTTAATACCAGCACTTCCAAGGCCCGGCTGATGGGAGTAACAAGTATGATCATGTAGGGACAGATGTAGGAACAGAACCTGCATCTCTCGTCATCTCTTGCTAATTAGTTTGGCTAAAATTGGAAGAGACCACATACCAACCAAAGTCTGTACCAAGTAAAAAATTAATGAGAATATTCATAAATGAGGGTTTCTATCACTCTAATGAAGGATAATTGTTGGCTAATATATTTTTAATGCTTTATTTTTTTGAGAGAGAGTGCAAGCCAGGAGGGCAGAGAGAGAGGGGGACAGAGGATCTGAAGCTGGTGCTGCAAGAAAGGCAGTATTACTTGTGTTGGAGACAAGTAACAGCCCTAGGCAGTCAGTACTGCAGTGATTCCCAGTCTACTAATTCTGGCTGCACTTTAAAAGTCACATGGGGAGTTTAAGAAGAAACTCCCAGTCTAGCCCCTACATACTTGAATTCTTTGGATCAAGATCAAAAGTTTTCCACTTGAGAGGCACGTGGGTGGGTCAGTCAATTATGTGTCCAACTTCAGCTCAGGTCATGATCTCCTGGCTCAGGGGTTCAAGGCCCACGTCAGGCTCTGTGCTGACAGCTCAGCACCCAGCTCGTGCTCTGTCTCTCTCTCAAAAATAAGTATTTGTTAAAAAGTTAAAGGAAGCATTAAAAGTTTTCCACTTGATTCAGAAATACAGGAAAGTTTAAAGACCAGTATTTCCTGTATATCCAAGACATGAAGTGGAAGGCTTGTTTAGACGTGTCATATTACCAATGTTCTTTTGTGTGATGTTAGAGTTTGGGCTATAGGTTCTTAGAGTGATAACTTTGAAGAAATATGGTTTTCTGCCATTTCTTTCCTCCTTGCTCCCTTCTTAGTTTTAAATCTCGAAATCTTATCAATTCCCCAGTGTTAGAATTTTCATATTTAATGTTTTTGAAATCCAGATGAGTTTTAAAATTGAAGCAAATAGAACTAGGCAGCCACCAGTAATAATAAATTGTGACATGCAGAAGTATATATATCCCTTTGTAGAAGACACCTATTTGGATTGCTAAAGCTAAATTGTTGAATGAGAGCTTTAACTGCTCCTTTTGAAGTGTCTTCAAATAATACTGGAGTGCATCCTTGAAATAGTCTGTTGTATGTGTACAGACAACGTATTGTGAGCGTTCACTCATCCATCCATTCATTTATCCATTCAAATAAGTGCCAGACAACAAATGAAGTGATAGTAGCACTTTGAAAGCTAGGAAAAGTCACAGAACAGGTCATAGAATTTTCTAACCTGAGAGAAATTGGTGGAATAAACTCATATCATGAAGAACTGTCATTCAGGAGCAAATATAGAAACTGCCAACGGTTTCAGAATTTGTTTAATTTCTAACAATTCATAATTCAGGTAGGAAAAAATGAACGGAGTAGAAGGCAATGGAATGCAGACAAAACCCTGGTATTATTTTGTATGTCTTAAAATATTGAGAATTCTAGAAATTAGGAAAATAAATGTGATGCTGTATATACCTGTCATTGGCTCAGTGACTTGGAAGAATTTTAGACTCTTAATGAAAACAGACAGGGAATTTAAGAGTTCTTCATTTTATGTCAAGGCGGATGAAGAAATTTTTCTCTGTGGCTATCAGGTCAGCAATTTGTGTGCTAGAGAAGAGGTTCTAATGGGGGTATTAGGAATATTTAACTTTTGGAGGTTTTATAAATTTAGACAATTAGTTGTATTTGTGTGTTGTCTATTTGTGGGGAATTCCTCATAATCTATCCTGAAATCTATAAAAGGCTTAATATCTGAATGCATAATGGTCATATTTGGGAGTCTAATCTCACTAATTAAAAAAATGCCTTTATAAGGAAGAGGACTTTGAGATAAATGAGACTAGAAAGCTGAAAGCCCTTTCTGGCCCTAATTGTGATACTAAAAAGTTAATTAAAGATCACAAGACACTGAATATGCTATTACTATAATGTCCTCTGGACCTTTTTTTTTAAGATTATGTAGGGAACTTCAGGTAGAAGTTTGGTTTTTGACTTGGTCCTGACATGATCTAATCATCATAGGTTGCTATTTTAGAAAAAGTATTTTCTTTGCATTATTATATAGGTGGGAGATCTGGTGTTCCTTTTAAATGATTGTTTCCAGTGCTTCAGAATACTTAACAGTTCTTTAAATCAGGCAGATTTTGGGAAGGTAAATACAAAGGACTGGGGTTTAAGTAGAAAACTATATAAACTAGATCTAAAAAGTAACTATATCATCTGTCTTATTTTTTATTTTGTAATAGTCCATGTCTATAAACTTTTTAGCTTCAGTATAATCTTTTCTAATTTTCTAATAGCGTAGACTTAGAAGTAATATTTTGGTATATTTTAAGGCTGGTGCATCCTAATCAGTTACTGGCCAAGGAACTTGGCTATTGGTTTTGAGACAGTGATATAAGCATTCCATTAAATGGCCAAGGGCAGGCTACCCCACAATGTCCCACTGTGGTATATTATTTTGAATAAAAGTTGATTAAGAGACAGACTATGCACAAGGACACTTGGACCACATCCTCTATGCCCCTGAAAGGAGGAAACAAATGTCTCATGTGAAAAAGCACCCTCTCTAACACAAGGTAAAGGCACATCCTATCACCAGAGATAGGAAATTTAGAGCCAAAGCCAAGAGAGCTATATAAACAACCCTTGTTACTTGTTACTAATTTACTGCCCCAAATTCGGTTTAGAATTCTTTACTAATTGAAGCTCCCAAAATTTTCTTTGTCCTCATAGATTGTTTGTTAATAAGGTATTAAAAAAACTGCCCAGTTTTTAGATCTCAGTTGCATTATTGGGCCTCCTGCACACATAAAAAAAAATTTTTTTTCTCTCGTTAATCTATCTCATACCAATTTAATTCTTACACTAGCTGGAAGAACCTTGATGGGTAGAATGAAGTTTAAATTCCTCCCCTATAGTTGGCATATTTGGCAGGATCAAGTTCCATTGGAGAGTTGCTCTGAAGATTCTGCAGTTTTGAGATATTGGCACATCTGATCTACAGCCAGCAGAAGGTAAGATTATTTTACCACGTTAACCTCCCAGGATCTGCACGATCTGGTGGAGTGAGAGTAGTGAGAATCTTTTTTTTTTTTTTTTCTTTACATTAGCAGGAAAAATTAGTGTGGAACTAAGTCATTGGGCTTAGCAAGTCTTGGTAAAAATGTGAGTGAGTACTCTTGGTTTTAGTGATCCATTTCCTCCCAGAGATGGTCTTTGTTTTCCTTTGTCTTGTGTGTCATATGTTTTAAAAAGAAATTATAGGGCAGAAAGCAGGCACAGGCTCTAGAATCCTGCTGTTTGAGCCAGCCTCGCAGAATGATGAATTAATGGTTCTTACCAGACTGGTGTCTGATTAAACTTTGCTGTGGGTTAATGTGCACGTGAGGTAAAGGCTGTTGCCATGGGAAATCTTGGAAGCCAAAGCTTCAAAATTGGTGGGTATGGGTTGAGCACTTAAAAGCTGTTAGAGTGCTCACCACCTAACTTGGGGACTCTCATAGTTAGGAAAGTTGGTCACAGAACAGGTTAGATTGACAATAAATCACCTGAACACCACACAATCCACAACCCCATGGCACATCCCTCCTACGTATTTGGCTCTCAGAGACCCAACACTAAGCTAAAGCTTTTAATGTGCACATCAGAAGAACCAGATGAGATTTTTTCTTTTATCCTGTTATACGTCTGAAGAGCCTGACTTTGTGATCAGTAAGAATAAGAATATTCTCTCTGGATGGTACTTACCGGGGGCACCTTGGTGGCCAAATAGACTGGGGTTCCCAGACATGCAGTTACGAGCAGCACTCTTTGGCCATGCCGGTTCTCAAGAGGAGTTTCTCATAAAAGGTCCTGGTCCACAAGGAGCCTTCATTGTTTCATCCTTCATTGCTTGGTAGTGTTGGAAAGTTCCGTTCTAGTAGTGTCTGCCTGGTGTCACAGATTAGCAGATCTGTTCATTTTTGTGGGTGTAAACTTTTATATGATAGGGGCTATATCATCTATGCCCCATCTAGGGACAGCTCATGCATCTTTGATTAAGCCATAAAAGGTCTTATTGGTTTGAGGTGCTATTGGAATTAATAAGATCCTACTTGTCAGTGGCCAAAAGAGAGATCTTTTTTTTTTTTTTAAATTTTTTTTAATGTTTTATTTATTTCTAGG